TCTACCAAAATCTTGGTTTGCAACTGTCAGCATTTCTGTAGAAACCGACACTGATGAGCATCGATCACGAACACGTTCCATTGAAGTAAGACTTTTCTTATATTACAGACAATATATCACTCGATGTTAACCGACGTTTGTCAGACATGAGTCGAATCAGTGCTAGCAAGTTATAGTGATCGATAATATGTAATGCGTGTTGATGTGTATTGGCAATACCCGACTAAAATTTTGTAAGGTAATCACTTATCACATCTGATCTACCCATTAGTTATCTATATTGATATATAAATGCACATAGTGTTTCTGCTTGCTCATTCATTACTGATGCCAATCAAGGAGAAGAGCAGGACTTCTTTGGCTGTTTTTCAGAACTAAGTCATTTTTAATTTTGATTCGAAATCAATACCGGTAGTATAGCAGTACTAATCGTTTGATCAATATTTTAGTGACTTTTAAACTTCGATGAATACTCAGATGTTGACTGATTCTTCGTTAAGATTTGACTTGATTCCTGATGTTTTTCATCAAGAATCTCGAGTCTTGAAAAAAGCAACAAAAATGATCGCAGTTATGTTTTTCACAACAAAGTACATTAGTTACAAAAGTCGGTAGTATTTTGGTATTCGGTATCAGCAGCCTCTAAAAGTGGAAAAAGCATAGTTATCTGAGTTAATGTTCTCGATTTCAATAATTATTATTGATTAAGGGCTCCCGTGCCCCTCAGAAATTACCTTCGACACCGTACATCCGATCTGGACGAAACTTTCCATAAATGTTAGGCACAATGCGTTATGGGAATGAAATATTTTTTTGTCTCCTAGTCTTACAGTTTAGGAGTTTTTCAGAGATCAAGGTCTGAAAAGGACCATGAAGTGCGTCCCAAGATTTTTTAATATACTTCAGGCTGGAGAGTTTGGGTTTGTTTTATTTTAAACTAGACATCTAAGTACATCGACTGACTGGCGCCGATTTTTCAGTTAAGTCTTTATTGGTTTTCCAGGCAACCAACAACCTCTAGAACCCGAAAAATCCTCAGTTTGACAAAAAACTAAGACCTAATTCAAAAATCGGTCAGTTCATGTAGTTTCTTTTCCTCTTTTAAACCAAAAAAGAATGAACTCTCTACGACAACCCGCTATTAAAAATCTTGGAACCCACTTCAGGTGTAACCCTTATATAGAGAAAACGCGCTATGAAATACTGGATTTTAGGACTTGTAGGAAAATGCCTGTAACTTTTTGATGCAAGATCATACAGAGTTGTGCGGGGTCTTATTTTGATCAGCAACGTTTGCTCTACAAAGTTGTGTGTTCAGAAAAATTTTAATTGCATAAGTATCCAGGAAAAAACTATTATTTGAAGACCCGGGTTTTCGAGGCTCTTAGAAAACTTGCTCAAAATCTCCGAAAAACCAATTTCGTAACCAAAAGCAATACAGATTCGGGAAGTAGACACTTCAGGCTATCTTTCTATGTGCGTATCTCACGTCAACCAACGTTTGAGCGACCGACATTTGAGCGACCGATATTTGAAGGACCGATATTAGCGCGAACAGGACTCGACTCTTCCACGAATTGTTCGTAGTACACATTTGGGTATTTTTGACAGTGTGCTGAGGAGGGGGGGGGCTGGGTAGTGTGAAAGTAAGTTCGAAAAGTAGTTCCACACGAAACATATTTTCATCATGGGAAACTGTACATGTGTAACCGGATCGTATAACGACTATTCACCACATAATTTCTCTCGAATTTCATATTGTTCTCGGAAATGTCGGTCGCTCAAGTGTCGGCGCTCAAATGTCGGCGTTCAAATGTCGATTAATTGTATCTCAAAACCGATTTTTCGACCGAAAATTATCATTTCTAAGGGGGGGGGGGAGGGCTTAAAAAGGATTGCTGAACATCTGTCAATATGAATTCATTGTAATACGGATATTTAATTGCTGGACGACTTTGAATTGTATTTATTATTCATTGAATATAGATTTTACCTGTCTGGGACATTATATTTAACTGAATAGTATATTCAGTATGTTACATCACTATCGTCCTTATGACACAGGAATGAACTAGATATTTGATTAGTATGCTTTATAAATAAAATATGTTATCAGTTACTCCCACGTCAACAGAAACGTTATATTAATGGCCTGTTAATGAGTGATGAACAGATCGCGTTAACGGACCGTTTTCTGATCGTTATTTGGTGATGCGAACACGGCCTGTTGGTAGTGCCGGGTTTTGACGCTTTATGAGACGTTTTCTGAAAATCATTATATTCGATTTTGTACCTCATAAATATCGTTTTTATACTTTTTCGATTTTCTTGATTTTTTCTGCTGCCCGTGTGCCCGTGGGAAAAAAGCTTTTTCTTTCTGATATGCCACAGATTTTTACTCTCTATATAAAGAAAAATTTTCTCGTCCATACCTCTGTATTACATTGTCCTTTTCTATGGCTTGTCTCTGACTATCTGTATTTCATTTGCAAACAATATTTTTTTTGTGCAAAAATATTTTGAAAAATTCGTGCCCGCCGAAAAGAGCGGTTGCGTGTCCGTGATTTCTGGAGCTTACCCATGCTCACAGGCAATATGAGCATGGGAATTTTCGCGTCCGTCCAGATCTCTAGGCGGAATAGATTAAAAAACTAAAAAATCTAATAAAGATTGACCTAGCATGTAGTAAATGTTATTTAGCAAATAATTAGTACCTCCATTGTTATGTCAGTCGTCACTGACATTCCTTACTCTCTCTGCTTTCGCTCTTCATTTCTCATGACCAGAAAGAATGTTGACTCAAATTCTTGTTGAATCAACATTCTTTCTCCATCTACATATAGTGTTTTTTTGTACACACCTAATTCCTTTTTGTTTTAATGTTTTGTGTAATTTTATTCATTCGAATAAAATCTGTGCAGGCTAGTATCCATGTATTCTTTCAGGTATTATTTGATGTTTTTAATACTTAGTTATCGATAGTATTTCATGGAGTTGTTTTATGGTATACAAATTATTCGGTTTTATTTGAATTAAATTTTCACTTATACTCGATCGAAAATCATTCTTAAAAAACAAATGATACACTTCTCTATTTGACATTGATAATATTTTATTTTTTATTGCTTTGACTGACAGATACACCATATAAATCCAAATTGTATTGTTTGTTTGCTACTATTTATTCAGCGATAACCTTTTTTTGTTATTTAGTGAAAATAAATAATAAAAATTTTTTAAGGAAGTGTCAATAGCCAACAAACTTAGCCGTAAACTAACACTCAGACTACGGCAACTAACTCGTCTAACAAGGAACAATGACTATGTTTGAACAACATAAACAGTCAAACACATCAATTGGTATCATGTAGTTGCACGATTCTCTATTTCATAGGTATAACGCTCACTTTTAAAAAATCGGATATAGAAAATGAAAAGAAAATTTGCCACGTTATTTTACTAGGAAAACTGTTCTAATACCAGTTAAGTTGATAGAATCCCTGGAAACGAATTTTGAGACACATCTAGAACTAATGTTTTTTAGATGCTAGTAATTTACATAATAAAACTTCATATTATTAGGCTTCACAATGATGTAAGAATGAATAAAATTACGAATTCTTTTCTTTTGTACTAAACATCATTTACTCGTTCTTCTATGTCAACAAGTTTTCGTTTTTTTTTGTTATTAAATACATGTACTGTGTTCTCTTTTTGATTTCTTTTTCTCAGATATTTTTCGTTTGTAAAGCTGTTCTCGAATGTGTGTGGATGGATGTAGAATAGAATAGAACAAGAAAAGACTACATTGGCATCGTTCTCTTTTTCTACTACATCAACCTTCTGTCACAGTGCGATTCATGCTCAATAAATAAAATAATTCTTATTTTAACATTCGAATGTAAGAATTGTATTTGTATAAGACTTCTAATTGAACAAAGAATGTAATTTAGACTACGACAAACAACTACAAGACAGTCGACTGTATATTATTGTCACCACTTATACTTATTGTAAGCAAAATAGTTGAAAAAGATGAAAAATGTCATAAAAAGTCAGAAAAAAACATCTATTAAACGACATTTATTATTACTTTATAAGCGTAGAGTGATTCTTGAAGACACTGAGTGCCCATACAACCTCAGTATACTCGTCACGTGAATTAATGACGAATCTATGATGGCCTCGTGCAAAAGATACTCTTTGTCTCACATGTTAAGATGTACATAGGGAACAAAAATATATAAAATACGAAATGACGATGAACTAAACGTCTAAATTAAAATATTATTCATTTTAGAATATTGCTCATGTCATACAAAGATTTACCCGATAAATTAGTAATAAATTTTGATGAAGATTGGCGATTTAAACAATCAGAAAATACTTCTGATAGTAAAAATATCACATCAATACGATACGATGATCAACAATGGGAAAGAGTTTCACTTCCTCATAAACAAGAAAAAGTTGATACTTCATGTAATTGGTATCGTAAATTTTTTGCATTAAATGAATTTGAAGGAAAGAAAAAATATTATTATTTACATTTTGATCAAGATAAAGATATAACAGGCGATATTTGGATAAATAATATAAAAATATTAAACGATAATGATTCTTTATCATGTTTAACAATTGATATAACAAAACATGTTCATTTTCATGAAAAGAATTTAGTTGTTTTATGTGTAAAAAATGATACATTTCATTTACAAATCTGTTTGATTATAACTGATGAGAAAACATTAACATTGAATTCGTCACATGAACAAACAACATATTCCGGTCAAATACCAATTAAACAAAAACATCATACACCGTTTAAATATACGGCAAGTTTAACAGATGAAGGACGTATTAATCTTTGTATTGATGAAGATAAAAAATATCGAGAAGAATATTCATCACAGTTTAAAGAACAAGATGAAACTCTCATCTATGGTAAAGGTCTCAATGAACGTGATCGTTTAACACTTAATAAACCGATACCACATTTAACAATTTGTATTATGATTGTTGGTAGTCGTGGTGATGTTCAACCGTTTATTGCCTTTGGTAAAAAACTTACAGAAGCTGGACATCGTGTTCGTTTAGCTACACATGAAACATTTCGAAAATTTGTACGTGAAAATGGTCTTGAATTTTATCCACTTGGTGGTGATCCAGCTGATTTAATGTCTTATATGGTAAAGAATGCGGGTATTATACCGTCGGTACATAGCATCGTGAATGGTGATATACAAAAAAATCGCGTACAAATAGTCGATATACTCGATTCAACGTGGCGAGCGTGTATTGAACCAGATGATGAGTCGGGAGAACCATTTATCGCCGATGCAATTATTTCCAATCCACCGACATTCGGACATATTCATTGTGCACAAAAATTAAGTATTCCTCTACATATTTGTTTTACAATGCCTTGGTCTCCTACCGGTGCATTTCCACATCCGCTCTGCAAAGTCAACTATACAAAACGTCATCCAATTGAAAAAATTAATTTCATGTCCTATCACGTTGTCGAAATGTTAACATGGTCGGCAATGCGAGATTTAATTAATAATTTTCGTAAAAATACACTCAAACTTGATAAATTACATACAAGTCAAGCAACGCATTTAATCGTTGACGAACGTGTTCCACATACATATTGCTGGTCACCATCTATCGTTGGTAAACCAGTGGATTGGGGTGATCACATCGATATAAGTGGTTTCTTTTTTCTTGAAAATTCGAACGATTATTCACCACCTGAAAAACTTGTTCAGTTTTTGAAAAATGGTGATTCTCCATTTTATATTGGTTTTGGTAGTATTACGGGTCATGATTCAAAACATTTGTTTGAAATTGTTGTTAAAACATTAGAACGTGGTTCGTTTAGAGCAATTATATCAGGAAAGTGGACAGGAGTCACTGAAAAAGATTCAGCAATATCGGATAATATTTATCTTGTCGAAGATTGCCCACATGATTGGTTATTTCAACATGTTCAAGCTGTGTGTCATCATGGTGGTGCTGGGACTACGGCTGCCGGACTAAGGTTAGGTAAACCGACTATTATTGTACCATTTTTTGGTGATCAGTTTTTTTGGGGAGCAATGGTTGCTAAATGCGGTGCCGGACCAAAGCCACTACCTGGTAAAAATTTGGATATTAATAATTTGTTTGAGGCATTTAAATTTGCATTAACACCCGAAGTTAGAGCAGCGGCAGAAAAATTAGAAGATGGAATAAAGAAAGAAGATGGCGTAGAAGCAGCTGTACGAGCCTTTCACACGGCTTTACCTCTGCATCACATGTTAAGTGATCTTGAATCGACCTATCCAGCTCGTTATTATTTACCAGAATATGATTTGAAAATATCTCTTCCCGTAGCTGAAGTATTGATTGCTGGTGAAGCTATTATCGAATCCGAGCTGAAAAGCTATCATACAAAAGTATGGGAATTTCAACACGATCATAATATTCTAAGAAAAGGTCAACGTGCATTTTCAAATTTGTTAGCTTCGGTCGCCAGAGGTATATTTCATTCTTCAAAAAGAGAAAAAGAGGATTGTTTAAATTTACCATCTTCTCGAAGTCGATCAAATTCACTAGTGAGTACAGATAATACACCTGAAGGCTTAGCTGAGATAAAATCGGGTTTTACAAAAGAAACGTGTCGAAAAATTTTAAATGAGTTTGAACAAATAAAACTTAGCCAAAACAAACAGTTACCGCATGTTGAGAAAAATAAAGAGGAAATAGACACGCACATGTAGTAATGTGCGAAGTAAATCTGTCATAAAGAGTAAACGAAACTTTAGAAGAAAATCCACCATCGACCAAATTCTCGCGCAAGAGAAATTAAATTTCACTCAAATCTTCGGTTTGAGATAGATGACAGATACCTTAATTTCTTTTAGTTCAAAAATGCATCAGTCTCGAGTTCGGAGAGTGACATTAATGCACAGATTTTTCCATTTTTTAGTTACTTTTAGTGAAATAAAATTTTTTAAGGAAGTAACCAACAAACTTAGCCGTAGACTGAAGCTTAGACTACTGCAACTAAACAAACCAGTTGCTTTACTGTCAAAAAAATCCATCCGTACCGAGGTTCGGAAACAGTTTTCGGAAAAACTATAGAACATTTTTTTGGTCTTCTATATTATGATGTCTTTATCCTTGCTAATAAGAAACATTAATGGATTAAACAAGATTATGATACAAAATGATGTTTTACATTTTTTTATCAGACTTATATTTCGCTTGTTTTTCAAGATATTTCAGATTGTCTGCGAGATAGACAAGTGTTTAAGTGCAGAGATTGCATAAGATTACATTTTTCGGTGAGAAATACCCTCAAGAGAAAATTCAATAGTTTGCACTAAAGTTGTTGTTTTTTATATAGAACATGAACATGCAGTTAGTTTTGATTGAAAATGTAATCTAACAACAAACAGAACAAAAATCTGCTTAAAAACTCGTGTATATCTATCAGAAAAATGTGTTTTCTTTATTATTATTTGTACATACTATGATGTTTTGTTTTCACTTTTACGAAATTAAATAGAACGTCGTTTAATGTAGCTTGTGTTCACTGGTTACACCCTGAAGTACGAAAGGATGGCTAGTTTGGAAAAAGATGGGTATACGGAAATCAATGATTACCAGTATTCCATTTATACTTCGCTCTGAATGTAATTGTGGTTTTAAGACTGATTTATATGTTTTATTTCGTATATCATAGGTGACTTTAATCGGAAAAAAAATCGACAACAAAACATAAACAACCAATATGTTTTGAAGTTTTTGCTTCATTTTGAAAGCAAGACTCATTTTACTATTGACAAATAACTGGCCATAATTCACTTAACACACTAGAGGCATATCGACTATTATTTGTACAGTATCAGTTTGTAATCGTATAAATGCACTTAATTCAATGTCTTCTTAAATAATGGCATTCTTAATAATTGAATTCTATCTAAAACAAGATAACGAGACTTCAAGGTACTTCTCCTCTGTATTTGAACTTTTCGTAGAAATGCTGTGAAATAAAAACTAAAACTCACTAAGGCTTCATATTTTCAGAACTGATAGGAAACTCAATGGAGCACTTTTTCGTTTTTGTTTCAAGTTTTTAACTATTGCCATTCACCAATTTTTCCAGAAAACTTGGTTTTTCATTGTACTACATTACGACCCTTTGAGCCGTTGTAAATCTCAGGATGCGATTCATATTTGGTAACTTTCAAATCACTTTTAGGAGGACTGTACGATTACACTCAACTTTCCGATATGTCGCTTTTCAGCTTTTTCTAAGTTTTCACAATACGTTACTTACCATAGCTGGATTCGAACACATAAACATACGATTACATTTACTGGACTAAAATGATATTGTATTACTGAAAATGATGTTTTATATACCCAAACGTCGCAAAATAAATTAAATATCAATATTTCTAGAGTCTGTTAATCGATTAATCTTCATCCTCAAATTAACAGCTCGTCTTTTAACGACTGCACATCTTAACATTTTAAGACGTGAGAGTGAGTGGAAAAACAATATATTAATAATAATGATCATTAATACTACTAAATCTTTTAAGAAATGATTTTTATCCTTAATAAAACAAACTGCATATAATTTATTTAAAAATAAATTATGTCATAACTTTTAATTTGTCCCACAAAAATTACTTTTTGCAGAATTTTTAATTCATTTTTGAATTCAGAACCATTGGATCTCTTTAGCACTTATTAAACAGCAACATGGATGAACTTATAAATCAT